AAACCTGAGCCCTGCTGTGTAAGCCAAATGAGGTGGACTCTCCGCAGGACTATTCCCAGCACAAGACACTTACCCCATAAGCATCAACAATGAGCTGGAGGACATTGCTGGAATCCATGGACAGAACCCCGACTGTGGTCCCTGGGATGAGCTCACTATAGTTCTAGAAAGGACGACAAAGATGTCCAGAGCTTACCGAAGGAAGGTGGTGGTCTCCAAAAGCCCTCCTCAAATCCCACTGAGAGTCCTGAGATGAAGATTGGAGGAAGGTATGGGATATTTCAGTGGTCACTGCCAGGAATATATCTAGCAGTTTTTCAGCCCTGAGCAAAAGTAGAGGAAGCCTCTCACACCCTTTGCCACCTCCCCTCCATCACCACAAACACCAGCACACACCTCGTAAGTTCAAGGTTGCAGGAAAAAGGCCCAGAGTGCAATCTTTAGCTCCTGGGCAGTGGATTAGGGGAGAGTCTTTCCTGGTTGGGGACTATGGCCAACGCTAGCACAGGCTGGCTACCTGGGGCTCCCACCATCACAGGGCCCACTCCAGGAAGCCCGAAGGCACAGTCACCTGATAGAGATTGACTACATTTTCAGTCACTGCAAAGATCAAATTGATGTTTTTCTGGGAGAGCTTCTCAGTCATCAGCCCCAAAGAGGGATAATCCTAGAAAAATGAAGGATGTAGAAGTTAATGAAGTGCCATGTACATCCCTAGGGTCTAAACCTTAGAACTTATCTTGCTTGGGCTGTGGCTCAGAGAGTTGTGGTGCTTAAACCTTTTCACTTCATGCTGAAAGTGAGACAAGAGCCTGGGCAACATAGCAAGGCCCCATCTCTACAAAAAAAAAAAAAAATTTAATTTGCCAGATGTGGTGGTAAGTGCCTACAGTCCTAGCTACTGGGTAAGCTGAGGCAGGAGGATCGCTTCAGCCCAGGAGTTGGAGGTTACAGTGAGCTATGATTGAACCACTGTACTCCAGCCCAGGCAGCAGAGCAAGACTCTGTCTCTAAAACTAAAAAAAGAGTGGGGGGCGGGGGGTACAGTGAGACAAGAAGGGTAAGTAGCACAGAAGTCTACTTGTGAACTCCAGGGATAGACAAAGAGGTGCAGGCCAGTGGTGTCAAAACTAAGCACCTCTTTCTTCCTGCTTGAATTTAATGCACTAATACAATGGAGCTGCTTCCCTGCACAAGGCACTGGGTTAGGCCTCTGTTTTGGAACTACTGACCGATGCCTTGGCCTGGCCCTCATGATCCTCCACCGTGTGGTCTCAGTCTTTCTTTCCAAATATTACTCACCTCTCTCCCTCTTCCACTCAGCAGTGATCTGGTCCACTGTCTCCCACCTGGAGTTGCCTTCTTGTTGGTAATCCTCCTCCTTTCTTAGGGCCCAGCTTAGGCCCCACCTCCTTCAAGAGACTTCCTTCAAGAGACCTCCTTCCAGCTCATGATGAGCTTTCCTCCCTTGGATACGTATAGCCCACTTTGGCTTTGCCACACCCATTTAGCACTAATCATGCATCTTGTGTTATTGTAAATATATATATATCCTTTCTCCTCAACTAGACCAAAAACTCTGTAAGGATAGAACCATACATAGTCTTGTTACCTCCCTCAGCCCCTGGCCCAGTGCCTTGCATAGATTAGGTGTCAAAGGTTGCTGACTCATTGCCTGGTAGTGCTTGACTTGGATATGGCTGACACCAAGGAACTCCAGGACACTGTGTGGGTGGGGTGGTGAATTGTGAACATGTCCATGGGATCCTAGACCTTGCAGGGAGCTCATTAGATCCTCAGCTCAGTCTCCTGCCTTTACACAGGTATACCTTTAAGCCACCTAGATAAGGAAGTTGCTATATTGTCCTTAGGAAATGAAGAGTTCACACCTGCCTCAGGTACCTAGAGCATTACAGCACATTTCTCTTATGGTTTATAGTAATTTCTCCTGATTCAATTTAAATATTTTGCTCTTGTTTAACCTTCTATGGTGATATAAAACAACTTATAAGACGTGTTCTCATGTATAAGCTAAATCATCCTTTAGCCTTCTTTCTTTCAAGCTGAATGACTCTGGCCTTTTAATCTTTCCTCGTAGGACCTGTTCACCATGTCTTTGATGATCTTTCCCCTCTTTCTCTCTTTCTCTCTCTCTCTCTCTCTGAGAAGGGGTCCCCACTAGGAGCAATGGCTCATGCCTGTAATCCCAGCACTTTGGGAGGCTTAGGGGGGCAGACTGCTTAAGCCAAGGAGTTCGAGACCAGCCTGGGCAACCTAGCAAGACCCTGTTTTCAAAAATTAGCTGGGCATGGTAGTTCATGCCTGTGGTCCCAGCTACTCAGGAGACTGAGGTGGTGAAGGCTACAGTGAGCCAAGATTGCACTACTGCGCCCCAGCTGGGCAACACAGCAAGACTCTGTATCAAAATAAAACAAAAAAAAAGCAGTGGTGGTTCTTGCTCTGCAATTCAGGCGGGAGTGTGGTGGCAAGATCACAGCTCACTGCAGCCTCAGACTACTGGGCTCAAGAGATCTTTCTGCCTCAGCCCCACAAGTAGCTGGGACCACAGGCACAAGCCACCACACTCAGTGAATTTTTGCATTTTTTGCAGAGACAGGGTCTCACTATATTTCCCAAGCTGGTTTCAAACTCCTTGACTGAAGTGATCCTTCCACCCCAGCCTCCCAAAGTGCCGAGATTACAGGCATGAGCCATCACATGCCTGGCCAATCTTTCTCTTTTTTTCCTCTATCTTCTTCCAATAACCACAAGTTAGTATGGTATTCCAAGAAAGGGCTAATCAAAGTGGAAAGGAAGACCTGCTTTCCATTTGGGTTGTAAAAATCCTTTGGGTCCATTCTGGATCCCATGATGCTGTTGCTATGCTGCTGACAGTAAAGGCAGTGATAACACCACAATCAGGGATATCTCTAATGGTTATGTAGGTTGTACGCTGGATGACGGTGTCCAGTTGGTAAGGGATAGGGGCAAGCTGAAACCAAGCCCTGCACCCTGCCCAGAAGGAGGGGCTGCCATTTTCATATTCACACAGACTCTGCCTGGGCTAGGGCACCCCTCACCATCATGAATAGAAACCATAGGTGGTGCCAGAGATCTCACCATGGTAGTGGAGGCAGAGTAATGATTGTCACTACCAACATGACACTGCCCATCATTGGGCTGGACAATGCCTGCCAGCCTTCCGTCCAGTGCTATATGAGTCTTGGCATCAGTGGTAAACACCAGCAAGTGCGAAGCATCATTCCTCCAGCCAATCTTTTCCTGTTAAAAGAAAACAAAAAAACAAAGGCAGAGGAGACAGAACAAATTCAGCCATGTCACAGGTAGAGAACAGAGACCCAAGGCGCTCCCTGGCTAAAGGGCTGGACAGCTTGTTTTAAAGAAGGGTCTCAGTCCCAGTCCTTGGAACCGAAGCTGAAACTTTCCAGTTCAGGGGTTTCATTCTCTTCAGAAAACAGTCTCATAACTGATTAGTTCAAGCAGCTGAATGAGATCCTCTTAACTCTTCTAATGACAGTCACAGTGCCCATCTAGAAACTGATGGGCATCCACAGAGCTGATCTGGGCTAGAAGAAATCTCATCTGAACATCTGCCTACTTTGCTGAGGTTAGGTTAACCCAGCTTTAACTCTGAAGTAACTCTGAAGGTGGGAAGATGCTCTCCCCTGGGAACATCTGAGACCACTGAGGTTCAAAGAAATGTCAGCTCAGGCCAGGGAGTGGATCTAAGCCAAGGCTAAATATCAGGAGCAACTTACTACTCACAACTGCAGGAAGCTCTGCTTAGTTCTCATCTCATTTTACACCAGAAATCCCCAGAGTTCAGTCACCTCCTTCCCCATTTTGATCTATGCCAACCACACCTGGCACTCTTAAGTCCTCCAAACTCACATCACAGACTGTAGCCTGCATGATGGCATCAAAGCCACCCTCTGGGGCATCTCGGTTCCGTGACACACTCTGCTTCTTCACTTCCTCATTGAAGCGGGTCACCTGGTCAGTTAGCGACAGCACGTGTTTGTAGCCAAACATGGGCAAGCAGGTGGTCTTCATACTGGGAAAGGATGGGAGATAATTTAAGCAGACACCTTGATGGAAAAGGCAGCATGAGAATTGGGAGGAAAGAGAGGGGACAAATATAGATAGTGGTATGCCCAGGCCAGTTCCATACAACCACAGTTACCCAGACAGTTCAGACTCCCAAATCCTCAAATTACCTGAGGCTCCCCATCAACCTTACCCCCATCCAGCTAGCCTACAGGATAAGAGATTGAGCTGGAAACAAGACTCCCTGAGCTTAGATCCCAGCTGCCCTCTTTACTAGTCATGGCACCTTCGGCAAGCCTCTCAAGTCAGCCTGTGAAAGTGGGGCCATGATAGCACATATCCCATAAGAGTTGTGAGACTTAAGTAAGTTCATATACACAAAGCACCTAGACCAGAGCGAGGCTTGAGTTGCTGATACTATCACCTTATACTTAACACTTTTCTAAAGTAACAATAAAGCACAAGTCCATCAGTAAGTTAAGGTCCCTGAACCATCAATAAATTGATAGATCATGCAAGATAGGTGCATTTCCGCCCCCAGCCAAAATAGTGTGTTTAATTAATAGCTGATGTCTTGCCTGGGAACCTTACAACCCAGACAGAAGGTTGAATGACACATCATATAACTTCAAAACATTTTTTTTTTTTTAGAGACAGTTGTGCTCCATTGCCCAGGTTGGTGTGCAGTGGCAAAATCATGGCTCACTGCAGCCTCAACCTCCCAAGCTCAGTCAGTCCTCACACCTCAGCCTCCCTATAGTCCCTGGGACTGCAGGCATGCGCCATCACACATGCTAATTTTTTGTAATTTTTGTAGAGATGGGGGTCTCACTATGTTGCCTAGGCTGAACTCAAACTCCTAGGCTCAAGTGATCCTCCCACCTTGGTCTCCCAAAGTGCTGAGATTACAGAAGTGAGCCACCCCACCTGGCCATAACTTTGAAAACTAAAAAGTAAAATCACACCTTTTCAGGCTCAGCAACCAGCATTGTAAGTTATTCTAATACATGGATTTGCACAGTCTCCACCGATTGAATAAGTAAGCCATTAAGTTTTAAGCCAAAGTTTCAAACAGAGGCACAAGGTATCCATTTACAGACTATAAAAGTGTTCAACAAATGTCATTTCCACTCTTTTATATTCCTTAGCACTTCATTGCTTCTGTTTGTACCCTGCAGGATGCACAGCCTTGATGAAGACAATAAAACCAACAATGGAATCAATCCTTCTGTAATCACAATTTCTCAGTTTACTTATCCATAAGTTTCTTTCTACTTTCGACCTCATCTCCCTTCCATTCTCTCCTGCCTCCTATTTATTTGTTACCAAGACTAAGAAGCTGATGAATTTTCTTTCTAGGTTCTCCAAACAGCCTTAGGTTCTACTGACACAACCCTCCAGATCCACAAGCTAGCCCATTTGCCAGACAGGGAGACCAAGGTAGAGAGGAGCTATAGTTTGGCCAGAAGACAGCCAACAAAGTGACCCTAGAGCTAGAAATAGAAACCAGGACTTGGACCTTCCTGGGGCAAAAGATGCTGTCCTGGCATCTGGAGGAGGGACTTACTCATAGCAGGGGTTTTCGAGGGCCTCTGGTGGGGAGATATACATGTATGGTGACACAGGCTTGTCCACAAATGCCCCGAAGCCAATCCGCAGGTTACTGGTGAGCTTTCGCATCTGGGTGGCCAGCTTGGTACCCAGGTTCTGGATGCTCCACAGATCGTCCTTCATGGAGTAAGACAGGTCCATCAAGTAGTAGATGTCCACAGGGTAATCCTCCACCTGCCGCACTTGGATGGAGAAATTCTTCGAATCATCTGGAAGGCAGAAAGACGTTAGTTTTTATCTTCTTCTCCTTCCAAGATTGAATAAGCAGATTTGGATACAGTTGGGACTAAGAAATTGCATGATCAAAGCAAACCAGAAAGCCCCGGTCCCTTTTCCTCTTCCTTTGCAATTCTATTACTCTTCTAATCTCTTGACCCGCCTATTTTTAACATCTTCTTTTCCATTCTAAAATTTTCCACTTTCTCTAAATCCCCAGGGGATTTCCAATCCTGTGAGTTCCAAGGGTCTATCACTGTGAGTCACAGAGGTTTTGATAGTTACTACACTTCAGACTCTGTAAAAGACAGAAATTGCACCCTACCCTTCTCTGAATCCCATTGCATCCAACACATGCCTTGATAGTAGGTAAATCCTTCTTGACTTAGTTGGAAAGTCAAAATCAATGCTTCAAAATTTCTGTCTCTTAGCCTAACCTTTCCTCCCTCTAAAGGTCTTGTGTACCTATTGTGCCTGCTGCCCCCATTCCCCTGTCCCAATCCCCTGTGAAAGGAGGGCTTACAAGTTGCTTTCTTATTCTATATCTCGTTTGCACCTCAACACAAAGCTCGAAGCTAGGTAAAACAGGCACTTGGGTAAAGAAGAAACAAATGTTTTTTGAGCACCTACTTTGTCAGAAGGGTTAAGTAACTTGTCCAAGGTCAAATAGCTAATATATGATAAAGTCAAGATTCAACTCAGATCTTTTGACTCAAGTCCTAACGTCTCTTATTTTCTTCTATTCTCTTGCCTACACCTCCCCCCACATCCTTGTCTTCCCACCCCATTTCCATTCTGAGCTACTTCCCCAAGACTTCCTCCTCAGACCTCCAACTTGTGCTCTATGCCCACCTGTCTCAGGTCTCTCCTTGCAAAAGGTCCCATCCCTACCTGGCCGGAGCCGGAGTGCAATCCTCTGGGGACTGACTTGAGTGACCTGGGAGCTGTCTCCAGAGCCTTTGTCGCTGAGGGGCCTGTCCTCTAGTACTCGGGCCTCACTGACTGGGAACTCGATGGATTCCGGGGCACAGTTATCCTTCAGCAGATTCTCCTTCAGGTCACAGCGAGGTGAGCCCAGAGGCAGGGCCTATAAGACAGGAGACCAAAGAGAAGTCCAGCAATCAGAGCTATGGTGACTCTCTGCCTCTTGCAGGCCCTACCACTTCCCAATAGCTAAGAGTTTACCTCATACTTGGATCATAAACAAATTGGTTTGGACTTTCCTGGGATAATCCCTTAGGACGCTGTACAGAAAGGGGAAACTGATACTTTGGGAGGCCAAGGCATGAGGACTGCTTGAGGCCAAGAGTTCAAGACCAGCCTGGACAACATAGCTAGACCCTGGCTCTACCAAAAAAAAGAAAAGGAAAAAGGAAAGAGAAATTGAGATATTAGAAAGGTCTATTCATGGAGTTGTAGCTAGAAAGAGAGCCTGTCCAGTAAGATGCCTGGTAGACCAGCATTTTTTTAACTGTGGAATGTAACACACTTATGGGTCCCAAAATCAATTTAGCAGGTATCAACCATCATTTTGTTAAATAAAATACAATAGAATAGAATAGAAAATATCAAAGTGTACAAATAGTCAAAGTGTTGTTTTGCGAAACTCTCATATTGTTGGAGAGTGGGGAATAACACGTATAATAAATAACTATACCCAGTACAATGTGTTTCTTTCTGTAGGTCAGAATCAAAACAGTTTGGAAGCTACTGTGTTCGACATGGGCTAAGCTATGAGATCCATGAAGTCAGGGACTATGTGTGTCTTGGCCCCTCTCAATTCCCAGCATCCAATCTAGGACTTACCACAAACGTGATAGGGAAAGGCAGTGTAAGGAGGCAGGAGAGAGTCAGGGCTAAGAGCACAGGAGTAAATTTCAGCATTGCACTTACAACTGCTTACTAATGCAAGTCACCTAATTCCTCCAAGCCTAGTTTCCTTAGCTGTAACATGAACATAATAACAGTCCCTCCTTCAGTGCTTAAGAGTGATCAAAATCATAGAGTCAAAAAGTAGAATAGCAGTTTCCAGCGACTGGGAGGAATAGAGAATTACTGTTTAATGGGTATAGAGTTTCAGTTTTATAAGATGAAAAGAGTTAAGGAGATAGATAGTGGTGATGGGTTTTATGACATTATGAATGTATTTCATGCCACTGAACTGTACGCTTAAAAATGGTTAAGATGGGCCAGGCCCAGTTGCTTATGCCTGTAATCCCAGCACTTTGGGAGGCCAAGGTGGGCGGATCACCTCAGGTCAGGAGTTCGAAACCAGCCTGGCCAACCTAGTGAAACCCCGTCTCTACTGAAAATACAAAAATTAGCCAGGTGTGGTAGCGCGCACCTGTAGTCCCAGCTACTGGGGAGACTGAGGCAGGAGAATCGTTTGAACCTGGGAGGTGGAGGTTGCAGTAAGCCGAGATCATGCTACTCCACTCCAGCCTGGGCGACAGAGCAAGACTTGATCTCACAAAACAAAACAAATAAATGGTTAAGATGGTAAATTCTATGTTATTTTCCCACAATAAAAGTTACTTAAAATAATAGTAATTATGGCACCTCCCTCATAGGCATGTCACACAGGCTAAATAAGACAATCTACATAAAATGCATAGGACAGCGCCTGGCACAGAGGAAGCGCTCAGCAAATGTGAGCTATTACTATGAGATGCTTGACAAGTACTTCCTGGATAAGTTAATTATGAATAAACTCCACAAACTTGGGAACATGGGAAAATACCATGATGCCAGGCTCCTAACCAGAGCCCATCCTATCACTTCAGCTTCCTCCTTCACCCTGGACAAAGAACAAATTGAGTACCCTTCCAAAAACCCACAGGCCCCTGGGGCTCTGTGTGCTTACACCTGAGTATTGAGTGGGGGCCACACTGGAAAAAACACCGAAAATCAGGAAACAGGATCAATCCTAGGCCTGCCAGTGACTAGTCACGTGACCTCAGATATATCATTTTGTGTCCTCACCTGTTCAACAAGGCAGTTAGATGACATGGTGTTTTCAGTCCCTTCCGGCTCTGACATTCAGCCAATTTAGTCAACACTGTGTGGGTGCATGTCTATGAGGGCTCCTTGCCAGGTTGAGGGGACCAGCCAGCAAGCTGGAAAACCCCTCCCTGGACCTATTTCACAACGTCTAGGCCTTCAGGCTCCCCAGCTCCACCCCGACCCACATCCCCCAAAAGCACTTCCAAATGTCTGCTGGATAACCCACACCAATATCCCAGAACAATTAGTGTTGACATTTATTGAGCACTTACTGTATGTCACGCACTGTGGTGAGCACTTTACATGGATTATTGCCATCTGCCTGCCTGACAGTTCCATGATGCTGGAACTATTATTATTTTATAAGGGAGAAACCTAAGGTTTAGAGACTTCACAAATGAGGAACCCAATCTTACAGGTAAGGAATCTGAGGCTTGGAGAAGTTAAGGAATTTGCTCAAAGTTGCAGAACTAGGAAGTGGCAGAACTGAGAGGCCAGCTAGATTGTCTGACTGTAATTATCCTCATAAAATAAGCTTCATTACATTCCGTATAGAGTGAGAGTCAAGGCACAGAAGTGTGGAAGGAATGGTCCTAGGAGGAGCCACAACAGAGAGTGCCCCAGGTAGAGAACAGGATGCAAGATGGGCATGTACGAGGGATGGAGAAGGATGGATGACATCTGCCTCCTCAGCCCCCTCAAACAACCTGGCAGTCATAATGCCTGGAGAGGGACTGGGCCACAAGGAGCCATTCATACTCAAAAGCCCTGTAACCAGCCGGGTGCGGTGACTCATGCCTGTAATCCCAGCGCTGTGGGAGGCCGACACGGGTGGATCACTTGAGCTCAGGAGTTCCGGACCACCCCGGGCCACAGGGCGAAACCCCGTCTCTACTAAAAATACAAAGATCATCTGGGCATGGTAGTGCACACCTGGAATCTCAGCTACTCAGGCGGCTGAAGTGGGAGGATCACTTGAGCCAGGGAGGCGGAGGTTGCAGTGAGCCAAGATCACACCACTGCACCCCAGTCTAGGTGACAGTGTAAGACCCCATCTCAAAACAAAAACAAAAAACCCTGTAACCCAAAACCCTTCCCAATGCTTAAAGTCTCTCTCCCTCTCCAGTCCGATCCCCCTTTCATGGGCTGAAGCCTTCCCCACGTGGATGGGGACATGAGCAACACCAACAGCATAAGGACTACCCTGGCCCAGGCAAGAAGTAAGTAGAGTTTCTGGAAGCCAGCAGCTTCTTTCTTTCTTTCTCTCTCAGCTTCACAGGTGTGCAGGCAGGGAGCTGGCCTCAGCAATGGAAATCACTGAATGAGACTTAACCTTCCTGGTGGCAAATACTCCAACAGGGACATCATAGACCTTCCACAACTCTGAGGAAGATGAAAATCTCCCCTGCACCCAGCTGTGGCTGAGGATGGAATGACACGGGGAGAGCTTGGGCACTTCAGGTTTTGTGCCCAGACTCCTCCTATTGTCCCTGCCCACCTCTCCTACCCCTTCCTCCTCGGAAGCAGTCTTTTTCTTGCTCAAAAAACGTCCCAATCTTATCTCTGATTCCAGCTGCCCACAAAGCCCCAGGGAGAAAACCTTCCCAAAAAGGCAGTGGAGAAATCAGAATGCAGTGAGGAGCGGATCCTTTCCAGGACCAAGATAGATGCTGAAAAAGACAGCAGGGATGGGAGCCCAGCAAACGGGATGAGAGCAGCAAGGCCATCATGCATCTTCAGGCTCCATCAGCAGAGCAAGAGAATGCATTAGACGGGAGTTTCCTGACTCCTATTTTCTAATGTGGCCGTCCTAATGAGAAGAGGGTTTGAAGCGCTAAGATGTGCTGACAGTCCTAATGGTTTGTTATGAGTTTCCTTAGAAAAATTAAACACTGAAAAACAAAACTGCCTCCCTCCCTCCCTCTGTGGTTGCTGACATCAGAGGTCAGGAATATAACAGGCCTGCTCGTCAGCCAAGTTCTCCACGAGAGCCCTGTTCCAGAAGAGCACCAAGGCAGTGACCTCAACATACTTGGGCAACATTCCCTTTCTTGGTAACCCAGGCTGAGAAGGTAGAAGGAATATCACCAGGTTATGCAGGCAGAAAGCTAGAAGGGGGAGGAGTGGATATTAAAGTTCCAGTTCCCAGGGAAACCGGATGTTACACAAAAAGGGCAAAAATAGCCAAGACCCAGGGGAAGGGCCTGAGCACAGAGGTGGGAGGTTCCAGCCAGCACCCTGCAAGCTGGCTGAATTACCTCCCTCTCCTGGGAGGGTGACACATGCTCTTAGTACCATTCTCCATTAATTCCATTTTGGAAACTGGGAAAGTACAACATGAATAGTTGTCATTATCCTGCCTATTTCACAGGGTTGGTCCGGAAGTAAAAGAAGACTGTGAATGTGAAATGCTTTCAAAATAGAAAAATCTCAATATAAGTTAACTATACTGAAATCCATTAGGACAGAGGTCCCCAACTTTTTGACACCAGGGACTGGTTTCATGGAAGACAATTTTTCCATGGACAGGGAGGTGGGGATGGTTTCAGAATGAAACTGTTCCACCCCAGATCATCAGGCATTAGTTTGATTCTCATAAGGAGTGAACCACCTAGATCCCTCCCATGCGCAGTTCACAGTAGGGTTTGAGCTCCTATGAGAATCTAATGCCACCGCAGATCTGACAGAAGGCGGAGCTCAGGCGGTAATGCGCACTCCCTTGCTGTTGACCTCCTGCTGTGCGGCCTGGTTCCTAATAGGCCATGGACCGGGAATTGGGGTCCCTGCTTTAGGATATAGTATAAACAAATAAATGCAAATATAAGGTGACTCTTTTTTTTTTTTTTTTTTTTTTTTTGAGATGGAGTTTCACTCTTGTTGTCCAGGCTGGAGTAGTGCAATGGCGCGATCTCGGCTCACTGCAACCTCCACCTCCCAGGTTCAAGCGATTCTCCTGCCTCAGCCTCCCTAGTAGCTGGGATTACGGGCACACGCCACCACGCCCAGCTAATTTTGTATTTTTAGTAGAGACGGGGTTTCACCATGTTGGTCAGGCTGGTTTCAAACTCCTGACCTCAAGTGATCCGCCCACCTTGGCCTCCCAAAGTGCTGGGATTACAGGAATGAGACACTGCACCCAGCAGGTAACTCTTTTTTACAGTTAACTACTATTATTTCATACTGTTTTCTTGGACAGGGAGAGTCGATATGCCCCAGTACATTTTTTACCCCCAAGCGCCACCAAAACAACTCCCATCCATTGTTGTCTTGATTAACTCATCTGGTGAGGACAAGAAATCACTTGAACATGTAAAGAGAAAAGAATAAAGAGGGCAGAAAGGAGGAGGGGAGGAACATGAAGCATTTTTGTTTATAGTTGTTGGTATTCACATTTCATTGTTTACAAGGAGACGAGCACTCTTAGTATTATACTTCCTTTTATAATGATAAGTTGGAGCAAAACTCTCAAGATGAACATTTATCCTCCAGATTAAAAATAAATAGAAAGAAGACAAGTCAGAATAAAATTATGTTTGTGATTACAAAGAAATGTAAATCATGGCCTATATCTTGTCCTGCAGTTGCAGAGAAGAAAATGAGAAGGAAATCCTATTAGAGTCTTCCTCTACTTTGCTAGACTCAAACCCCTTCTTCCTCTGTCACCCTTGGTTATCAGGCTAAGTGGGAAGCTGGCCCATCTTCCAGGGTGTACTCAGGCTTATATAAGAATTCCTAGTATATCCCTCCACTGTAGGGTTGCCAAATTTAGCAAATATTTGGGACATACTTATACTAAAAGTTATTTTTTGTTTCATTCAAATTTAAAAGGATGTTCTGTATTTTAGATTCATTTTTTAGAGACAGGATCTCCCTATGTTACCCAGCCTAGAGTGCAGTGTCTATAAACAGACATGATCATGGTGCACTACAGCCTCAAAATCGTAGGCTCAGAGAATCCTCCCACCCCAGCCTCCTGAGTGGCTGGGACTACAGGCACCAGGCTGGATGTTCTGTATTTATCTGGCAACCTTAACTCCACCTCCATCCACCTTGACCCCAACCCCGGTGGCCCTTCAATTAGCAATGTTTGTCAAACTTGCTATCATAACAACCCATTCTGATGTAATAAACCCAGGGTCCATCCTGGGAACCTTTATTTTTAACAAGCACCCCAGGCAATTCTCAATACCAAATGCGTTTGGGAGGTTCTAGACTCCAGCATGGCACTGCTGAGACTAAGACCACGAGTTGAAGCCGGCTCCAGAGAGAGCACACCACCCCAACTCATGTCAGTATCCAACCCTCCAAGAACACACCCTATCCACATGGGCCCAAAACTCCATGCTCATCCATGTTGGCTATGTTTTCCTCTTACCCAGCCAAGCTCTCACTATACACACCCAAGAGCTCCAGTCGTCTAGGACCAAGGGGAAAGCCGAGCCCAACCAGTTGTTTTTCCAGGCACTGCCAGCTTGCCTGGAACAGCCAACTCAGGGGAGGAAGAAGAACAGAGGGCTCTCCAGGGTTTGATTATCTGACAAATTACCTACAAAATGAACCAGACAGTTCACCTTTGGTTTTTTGAAATCAATGTCCAAAGCATTTTCAGCAGTTAAACTTAGCCTATCCAGGGGAAGCCCTGCTCCTCTCAGGAACAAAATAGCTTTTATGTTCAGGTTACAGTCCAGGATTCCCACCTTCCATCCCTCCCTGGTCGCCACATTCTGTCCCACCCTTCCTTCTCTCCCTCCTCCCTCTTGCTCAGGGATAGTTGTAGTCCTTCACTAACCTCGGCCCCGCCTCCTTTCATGTTTATATGCCATTCTCCCAGGGAATATCTTACTGGACTTTCTACCTCCCTCCATTTGTTTTCTTTGGTCCTAGCTGCGCGCATTTCCTGGCTGACTGCACCCCTCATTCTTGGCTGGTCCTACGTCATGCTCTGATCTACCCTGCACCTTTCCCTCTGCCCTCCCCAGGCCTGCCAGGGGACAAGGAGCACAACAGTCACCCATAAATATTCTACATTTGCATCTTTGAAATCTGGTTACGTGACCTAAGGGCTTTGTCTGTTCAGGCTTCAGCCCACCTCAGCTGCATGGCTAGTCCCTATGCAGATCAAGAGGGATGAAAAACAGGGGATAGGGAGCAGGACAGACCCTCCAAGTAAGTTTTCTTTTTCCCCAGCTTCTCTGGGCCAGAGATGCCTGCATTTTCTCTTGCTTTGGGTTGGAAAGGAGGGAAGGAGGAAAAGGTGGAAGCACCCTTTGAGTGACACTAGGGCTTCTGTCCTGATGTTCCTCTGTTCCTGAAGGCTTTGGGCTACCCAAGGCCCCCTCCCCATTCAGCTCTCCCTTCTTCCAGCATTCAGTTACAGAATTGCAACTTCCTGGTAAAAGAAGCTTTAGTAATATCACGATGGGAAGAAGGAGGACATAGCAAATGAGGAGGGAGCAGGCTACATCACACTGAGCAGCCAGCTTAGCCCAGAGGGGAGGAGAACCTGCGGGGGTGGAGGAGAAGGACTCATCCATTCCCCCTTACTCCCCTTCCCTAGCCCCAGGGAAGGTTTCATTTGCTAAATGAAGTCAGTGTGGCCCAGATGTTGGGCAGCTGCCTCTGGAAGCAGTTCCCATGCTGAACGGCAAAGAGGCCAAAGCAACGTGCGGAGCTGGCCTCTGCTGCTCTGGCAGCCCTCCTGGCCGGTGATAAACACAGCCTCCCAGCTCCCGCCCCTCCCCACAGCCGGCCAGGGAGGTTGCCTTTTTAGGAAACTCAGTGGATCTGGAAAAGAAGCAGAGAGACTGAGGGGCTGGATTGGAGTGGTCATAAAACTGGACAGGGCTGGGACTCGCTGTGGGACAGAGAGGACGCCTCAGGTAGCTGAGCCGCAGCCAGGCCAGGAACTCAGGTAACCACCTGCTGGCCATGCCAGTGACTCAGCCTCAGACTCTATAATCACCGAATCTCCCCAACCACATTCATCTCCCACCCCCACCCCATCAGCTCTTGCCAGCTCCAAATTTCCATCCCAGCCACAAACACAGCCATTCCCTCAGACACACTCATTCCCTAGGGCCCCAGACACAACAAACCCTCTGCCTAGACACAACTAACCCTTTCCTGTCCCCCTTCCGTCCTCACCAAGTGGGCCCGGCTCCTTTCCTCAACACCTGTGAGAAGGAAGGAAGGAAAGAAGGAGAGAAAGAAAAATGTAAAGCCATGAGGCCCAATCGTCAAAAAGGGAAGAGAAAGGATCTTCTGACTAAACATCCACACACACAAGCACAAGATTCCTCTTCTATTTGCCTTTTTTAACCTCTAGGAAAAAGAAGTAAGCCAGCACCCCTCCCAAACCCATCTGTACCTATACCCCTTGCTGCCTCTCCTTTTGAGACCTGACACCTGCTTCCCTGGGATATTCCACCCCAAGAAATGCAAGCAATGGGCTGGGCATGGTGGCTCACACATGAAATCCCAGCACACTGGGAAGCCAAGGTGGGAGGATCTTTTGAGTCTAGGAGTTCGAGACCAGCCTGGGCAACATAGTGAGACCCTGTCTCTACCAAAAAATTAAAAATAAACTATTTTTCTTAGGGAAAAAAGCAAGCAAAGTGTGAGAAAGGGCAGCAATGGTTACAGAGAGGACAGGAGGTCCAGCCAAACTGGCAGGGGCAAGGGGCTGTATGGTAGACTCGGGATAGTATTCCTAGCAACATCCCCATGACAGCTCCTCACCATCCATCAATGGGAAAAATTCATCAAAGTTTTGCTTAGAAGGGACAAGGGGTACATGTATTCAAGAGGGAGGTGATAACTTCATGGGTCTCTTTGTGCACAAAAGCAGCTTAGTCTGGAGAAGAAACAAGGTCTGGTATCTGCTCCTTACCTCATCAGAGC